AAGTGATACCTAGCTCCCAGGTGGGTAAGTAACTTTCCCACTTGGGGGGGAAATTGCTAACACTTGGGTGGACACAAGATTGCTCCTTTTAATAATGGCTTTCTATGGCTAAAACAGTCATTGTTTTATTTACTTGGGAAATAAAAGACCATGGATAAATGTATTTACCTAAATAAATAACTTCCTAAAAAATGAAAAGAGCCTTGATGGTCAATTCGTCAATGTAATCGGGTATATTGTTCTACATATGTGATTTAGTCACACTATAGTGGGGTCTAGTAGGTTCAATTACCACATTTATTTGAAAGAGGACAGTACTGAACATAATGGAGATCGAGGTGCTGGCCAAATGGCTCAAGCTAATATTCCCAAATATTCTTAAGATCCTTTGCAAGGAATCGGTGGACCAATGACTAGGGCAAGGACAAAGATGATGAAAGAGGTTCTACAAGGCTTCATCAGGGAAGTGCATGACAAAGAGGCTGTTTTAGAATATTCTAAGACTGTTCTACCAGTTTCCAAAACTTCACCAAGGATAATCACATATCTTTATGTGCAAGGCTTAGAACTTGAAGAACAAAGCTTGATGGGTTTGGCGCATAGACATGATAAAGAAAATGCCCAATTCACATGCTAAGATGTATTGATGGGCTTATTTTTTTATCTTGTTTTGTTTATTTTGACTTTTCTATGCTTAGTTGTCATTAGTTGTAGTTTTTTAGGAGGATTCCTATTTTAAAGCAGATTTGTTTTCCTAAATTAAAGGGATCTTCATCAGTTAGGTGTTTCCTGATAAGATAATCATTAGTTAGGAGTTTCCTTATAAGATTAGGAGTTTCCTTATAAGATAATGATGTTTACATGCCTATATAAAGGCCACAATTATGTAACACGAAAAGCAATCAATAATACAGTGGTATTTTCAGCAAGCTTAGCTTTGCCTTCTTGTGTTCTTGGTAGAACAGTTTATTTTCTAGCTTCTGGGTGCGCATAACAACTTAATTCAAGAGTTCCTAGAGCAAGTCGTCTAGTGGGTTCTTATCAGAACACCCCCTAAATAGAAAAATAATACTTCATTATAGTATTAATGGCCATCATTTGAGCCATTCCTAAGGTTGCATTTGTTTGCCGTGTAATACCAAACTAATGTTATATTACACTCTGGTCAGTTTTATAGCAATTCGGATGGAGTGTAATTAAACATAAAAAATCAATGTAAAACTCCACTCACTAGGGCTGTTCACAGGTTGGGTTGGGTCGGTTTACTGATGTTTTTTCAACCGACTCGACCTGGTCGGGTTACCTGAAATTGAAATCGAAACCAACCTTATATTAAGCAAAACTGACTTGATCAGTTTGAGTCAGTTTGGGTTGGTTTGGGTTAGTTTTGGCTCTACTTAGTGGCGACTTAATTGTTGTTCAAGTGTTCATTTCTGGCTCTACATTCCCAAAGGAAACCAGCATTTTCTTAATGTTTTCTGGCCCATCCATGGATCTAGTTGTGGAGGGAGCAGAATTTGAGAGTACTATTTGCCAACTGGTGTCCACTTACACTATAGAGATGAGAGATATATAGTGTAACTAAGTAGGTTGTAACTACTAATTAGGAACAAACTACTAAGTCGGTTTGGTTCAGGTCATATATAGTGTAACTAAGTAGGTTGTAACTACTAATTAGGAACAAACTACTAAGTCGGTTTGATTCGGGTCGGTTTCGATTTTTACACATAAAAACCGAAAACTAAACCAAATCATCGGTTTATGATTTTTTATAACCCGAAACCGACCGATGTTGAAGAAAACCTATCCAACTCGGATTGGGTCAGCCCGGATTGGTCGGATTGGACTTATGAACAACCCTACCACTCACATAGAGAGTTTTGCATCGACAATTGATGTAAACATTAACTTCCATAAAAACGATATAAACATTTTACATTGATAATCCTAGTTTTCATTTACATCGTTCCTAAATTTTAAATTGATCAGTATATAACTCCAATGGTGTAAAAAGTACATTTACACCTCATTTTAACGTCAGGCGAATTTTTCTTAGCTTAAGTACCAAATGATTTGATTTGAGTCATAAAAAATCATTAACTCAAACCAAAAACGGGTTGGCTCGGAAATTAATAGCAAAACCATCAAATTGGACAAAAACGATTTGGTCAAATTTTAGGGTCTAAAGAAAACCATCAACTCCTAAAAATGCTAAATTGAAACATACCTACTAACGCTGTGGTAGGGAAACCTTTACAAAACCTTGTAAAGGTTTTGTTTGGTTTGTGGGATGGGAAGGGAAAATATGGAATATTCCTCCCTTTCCAAGTTTGGTTTGTGGGATGACATGAAATGGGATGGGAAAAATGTTGGATTTATAGACCTCAATTCTTGGGATGTGGAGTCTCATCATGTTGGTGAGAAACAAGTGGGAATGTAAGGGAAAACTTATTTAACAAAAGAAATAAAAACACCTGCCTTGTTTTATTTCTAAGAGTTAATAGAAGGTCCATGACCCATAAATAAATTATTAATTATTTAATAACATATTAATAAATTAAAACAAATAATAAATTAATAAAAACATTAGTCAATAAATAATATAATGAATAATTATTTTTTATAATAAACTATTGAAATTATTAATTAAATCATAAGTATTATTAAAATAAAATATAATAATTAAAATTAAAATATTAATTAATGTTAATAATTAAAAAACTAATTAATATCAAATTAATAATTAACAATAAATACTAAATCATAAAAATATGATTAATTAATTAATAAATAACAAAAATGTTAATTAATTAATTAATTTACTAATTAAATAATTATTTTATCATTAATAAATTAAAAGAAATAAGTTATCAATAATTACAATATTAAAATTATTAATTAAGTCATTAGCATTAATAAAATATAATATTAATAATAACTTATAAACTAATAAAATGTAAAATGTGAATTAATTAACTAATTATAGATTTTAAATAATTAATATATAACTGATAATAAAATAAGAAATAATAAAAAGTCTTATTAACTAATTAATAATTAACAAAAATATTTAATAATTAATTAATGAATAACTAAATAAGGATTTAATTATTAAAATTGTTAATAGAATTGTTAAATAATTAAACATTAAAATTGTTAAATAATTAAAATTAATTAATAATAAAATAAAATTATTAATTAATTAATAGTAAATATTAATAAAATAAAAATAAAAAATGTCGATTCTTAATTAGATAATTATCATTATTAATTAATTATAAAATTAATTTATAGTTTATAAGTAATTAATAATTATTAATAATATACAATAATAAAATATTAAGAACTAATTAATTAATAATTATTACTAGGGTTGATTTTCCCACTATCTTCCCTTTTGCATCCACATAATGGAACATGAAAAGTTTCCACCCATTTTCCCTTTTGTGAAGGTTTTCTACCTTTTCTTTCAAACCAAATATAGCCTAAAGGGTTAATTCATTCAACTAGGGCTGTTCATAAGAATGCCCAACCCGACCAAACCGACCCAACCCGAGTCGGTCGGGTTTTCATCAGTACTGGTCGATTTCGGGTTGGGCAGATTATAAACCGATATATCGGGTCGATTTTCGATTTTCTTGTGTGAAAACCGAAACCAACCCGACCCGAACCGAACTAGTCACTAGTTCGGTAGTTCCTAGTTTGAGTAGTTTCCTACTTAACTATAACTAGTCTTCTACTAGAATTAGAAGGCCCATTAGGCAATTACAATTAGCATAGACAATCTATCATAGTTTCTAACTTTCTATAATCTTTTACACCAAATAGGCAACCATTAGGCTATTACAATTAGAATTCAATTAAGTGTCCTTTTGTATAGGAGCAAAACCGAAACCGACCCAAACCAGCCCAACCCGATTCAAACCGACCAGGTCGGGTCGGGTGGGAAAACCCTAATAAACCGACCCAACCCGACCCATGAACACCCTACAGTCAACTGAAATTTTGGAAAAGGCTCACCAAAGGGAGCCTCAAGAAGACAAGAACCCTCTGCAGTGAATCGGCTCCTCACACCAACCTCACAGAGTATTGGGACTCTTCCTATTAATAATAAATACAAATACCGGAGAGGTTCTCGATGTGTAGTCAGAACATGCTGTGAGGTTGAAATGAGGCGCGCTTTGTGACGAGCAGATCCGGACTCTATGCCCTTGACTACGTCGCTGAAAAATCCAAAACTCCCAAGCTTGAAACAACCGTTTCTTAACTTTCTTTAAAAAAAGCGGACGGCAACTTCTGACGGAATCGGCTGTGTCCGTTTGTTCCGGTGACGTCAGTTCCGACCTCAGACCCACTACGAGGCAAACCCTCAGTGGCGTTTCCGTAATTGAAAGAAAAGTCGGGAGTCCCTTTACTAAAGCTCCGCCGGTTTGCCCCATCCGTTGGATCCTGCTCAGAGATCCAACGGAATCTATAATAGCATTACGCAGATCGAAGATATAGCTTATCATTTCCCCGTTGAATAAAGGACTAGCGAGCTTCTTATCCGGAGCGACAGATGGAAACTGCGTTACGGCCAGAGGAGAGAGAGAACAAAACCATATAGAGGTTTTACAGAAAAGGAGAGTTTGTAGAGACTGGAGACCGTTTCTTTTCCTTTTTTGGACAAAAAAAAGTTATTTTTATCCGTTTTACTGATTGACCGCGCCGTAACATCGTAGACCGGATTCAAGTGGTCTATAGTCAAAGATGTAGACTGCTGTAGTAACAGTTGGATTAGAATCCTCTATTTTGGGTTACATATGGGCAGTCTGTAGACCACTGATATTATCCGTTTGATTGGAGGACTTGATATCTTTGACAAAATAGATTTTAATCCAACAGTGGAGGAGTGAGCATGTAGGAACTGGGTGTGTCTTAAGTTTCGTCGAAGAGAACGAAATATTCCGAGGTTGGCTATAAAAGGGAGAGAGAATTTCGGGAGTGAGAAATGAGTAATGTGGAAGAGAAGTGGAAGCTCTCTCGCTCTCTCGCTCTCTCGCTCTCTCTCTCTCTCTCTCTCTCGCTCTCTCTGATCTGAGCGTAAGAAGGTTTCTATCTGAGTAAATCTGCGACGACAATGCCTTGAGGGATGGTTTCTCTGCCGATTTCCAGTGGAACTCGGTGAGATTCCGGCGATTGTCGAGTTAAGTTCTTGACCGTTTGGTTTTTTGATTGTTTCCCGCGATCGGTATCCAAGGTGAAGGTTACGACGAGAAAGCCAAAACTTTTTTATTGGTTTGATTTTTTTCCGGTGGTGATCTTGTGATTTCTTGTTGACTTAATTGGCGGAAGTTGTTTGTGATTGCAGAGTTTTGATTTGAGTTTATTTGATTTGTTTTATTTTTTGGGAGTTAATAGACTGGTTCTTCTGAAAAGAATTGTCATTTGGTTTTGGTTGTTTATCGGTTTTAACCGATACTTCAGTTGTCCGGCAGCCTGAATCTGTGGTTTCTGGCGGGTTGTTAGAGAATTTTGGCCTGACGACGGAGAGATTTCCACCAGAAAAGGTGAAGATTCGTTCAGAATGTCATCTTCAAATGTGGAGACCTATTCGGATAATCTTCTTTGGTTTAGCGGAATGCGACAGTGAAGTGAAGCTCTTTTTTGATTTTACTGAGAGCTTAACATCTCTATGATCTAATGGCGAAAGCTAGGTTTCTGGATTCTGAGTCAAGGAAGCACGACAATGTCCTGATTATGAGATTCTACAGCCGATAGATCTGACATTTAATATTTATCTGCTTGATTCGATTTCTTCAGGTATAACCTTACTTGGTCTTACTTATAGAATCTGTATGGAAAATGCACCTACTGGTTTTGATAAAAAATTGAAAAAATTTAATCTATATATACAATTAGATACTTCCTCTCTTTCAGTTCGATGTTTGGTTTCCATTAATTGCGGTTGAGTACCGATTTCTGCTGCAACGGTAAAAAGGCTCCAGCATACAAGCATGATGAAGTGATGATGTTTTGCTTTTTTGTAAGAAGTTTTATTATATATATGTAGTTAATTCTGTTTCTTTTTCAGTTCTTTTATCACTTTTTCTCCCCCTTCCCCAGCACACTTGTAATTGTAAATATGATTCAGAATCACTCAGCCTTCTTGATAGTCTACCTCTCCTAATATTCTTACTTTGCTAGATGGTTCAAGCAGTGTTTCGAGAAAACATAAGCTTTTAGTTGATGTACTTCTTGCATCTTGCCTTGAGTTCATAGTTCATTACGCCAGTTTACTGGCCAAAACCATCATGATTATGGGTTGAAGTTCATCTTACCCAATATAGAACAGAGGATTAATGTTGTAGACAATATTTTTGGCCTATTGATTTATGGATTTGTCTTTTTTTTTTTTTTCTTTTATGTTGGTCTGTTTTTTTACTGCACATTTGTTCTATCCAATGAATTAAGATCCCTTTTACCCTGGTAGTTGATCTTCTTGGTTGATTCTGTTTTGTGTCACGACATAATTTTGAATTAAAATGTCAAGGTTTTGGTCCAATTAACATTTAGCAGTACGGACCTGTTTTTTCTGTTATTGCCACGTATAGATTTAGTTGATATTCGATGTAATAAATGTTTGGCATTTCCTTCGTTCACTTTGCTTTTGTGACAGACGTCAAATTAAGATGCCAAAAGTTATAATCTGGATAGATTGGACAATTCAAACATATTCTATTTGTTTCCATTATTGGATACTGCCAGATTCATTGGATATTTGTAGAAATAAATATGTGGCTCAACAAACCCATAAATTAGTAGTTGTTTCCTGTACAATTTGTTGCTTCTGTTACCGATTTTCTAGTTCTTGAAATAAATATGTGGCTTAACAAACCCATAAATTAGTAGTTGTTTCCTGTACAATTTGTTGCTTCTGTTACAGATTTTCTAGTTCTTTTTGACTTTGTTTTGTTTCCTTCTCTTCTTCCATTTTTTTGGCCAGTGTTTGATATTGCAAACTATCTCAGATGGTTTTTAGGTATTTCTTTGATGAACTGAAGAGAAATAAGGACGAAGTGAAGAGAAATAAAGATATTCCAGATTTACCAGCTATGGTTGGTGCACAAGGATGTGTTATTCCACAGCTCCGTACTTCTTTCAATTGTGGCTCTGAATCTTTCCAGATAAATTGGTATTTACTAGGTTGCATGTTATTGGCAAGAAATAAAAACCTGACCAGTGATGACATACTTGACAAGGGAACTGACATGCCTAGTTTGGATCCTATAAAGTTAAAGAAAATGAAACACACAGTTACAGAACACTCAGGTGATAAAACGGGCCGAGCTTCTGATGACAGTTTCTTACCTGGCCTTAATGATGATATGGTACTAGATATTCTTGCTTGGACCAGCAGGGCTGATTACCCATCACTTGCATGTGTGAATAGAAAATTTAAGTCATTGGTTTCTAGTGGATATCTGTACAAACTGAGGAGGCATTTGGGTGTCATAGAGCATTGGGTATATCTGGCATGCATTAGCATGCCATGGGAAGCTTTTGATCCTGTAAGATGCAAATGGATGAGGTTACCTGCATTGCCATGTGACGTTTGCTTTAGTTCTGCAGATAAGGAATCTCTTGCTGTGGGAACTCAGCTACTTGTCTTTGGTCAAGAGTTAACAGGATTTGCAATTTGGAAGTATAGCTTGATTACACATGAATGGTCTAGATGTCCCCTGATGAACCTATCTCGCTGTTTGTTTGGTTCCAGCAGCCATGGAGAAATTGCTATTATTGCAGGGGGAAGTGATAAGGATGGAAATGCTTTGAAGTCTGCTGAGTTTTATAATTCTGAGCTGGGTGTTTGGAAAAACTTGCCTGATATGAACTTACCACGTAAAATGTGTTCAGGCTTCTTTATGGATGGAAAGTTCTATGTCATTGGGGGAGTGTCGGGCTCCGAGTCCTTAACTTGTGGTGAAGAGTATAATATTGAGACAAGGACATGGAGGAGGATAAATGACATGTACCCTTGTCCCAAAAGACCTTTGCAGTGTCCTCCTCTGGTTGCTGTTGTCAATAATCAACTCTATGCTGCTGATCAAACAACAAATGAGGTCAAGAAATATAACAAGATGAATAATACATGGAGTGTTGTGGGAAGGTTGCCTCTCAGGGCTGATTCTAATAATGGCTGGGGTTTAGCATTCAGGGGATGCGGTGACAAGTTATTGGTGGTAGGTGGACAACTAGGGTGTGGATATGTTGTGCTCCACTATTGGTGTCCTGAGGATGGCAACAATGGAGAAACAGAGTGGAAGGTGCTTTCCGTCAGGGAGCGATCAGGTGCTTTCGTGTGTAACTGTGCAGTGATGAGTTGCTAAAGCTCATTGCCATGTTTATTTTGGATCTTAATATTCTGCTGGAGAATGCCAGATGCTTCATCAAATTGGAGAAGCAATTATGTTTTCATGGTGTTCTCTATTTAATAACTTACATTTATTCTAATACCCTTTATTCGATTTCCTGGATATCAGATAATCAGAATATATCATTTAATAACATGGATTCTTCTTTTCTCATTTTCTCAGTTGTCATTAATAGAAAGATCATTAAAATTTATACTACGAGGAAAGAATTACTTCTGACTGTGCCATTATGCTGTTTATGTTTGTGGATTTCTTTCTGGGTGGAAGTTCTCAAATATTTTGATGCTTCTTGAAAGCATTGCTTTTCTGTTTCTTATGGTCTTTGAAAGAAGCCCTGCACAACTAGTGGTTACTTCTTACTATATCACCATATAGAAGAGGCTTGAATCCAAATAAGATAAGTAGGGAACTCTAAAACTGTTAGTAACTCCATAGAGGTGTTGTAGAAGAGGTATTATTTCCTTTCTAAGGAAGTAGAAACTTGTGAATGATTAAGATTAGAGTATCTTGAATGGGAACAAAATGGAAGATCATTTCTTTATTGTGTTTTTTTTCCTCTTTGATATTCAACTTTGGTGAAATGGCAACTTTTCTGCCTTACTTTATTTTTTAAAGTAACTCCTATCACAATTTAATGCATTGGTGGATGCATATTCACCCTCTGATAGCTCTTATACTCTTATGTAAAATTGGGTGGTTTGTTAAAGTTGTATACCCATTTTTAAAAATTTGAAATATGTATATGCAACTCGTCTACTCCCTGCAGTGGTGGAAGAATTGCAGTAAATTGAAAGTATAAATTGGATAATTTGTCTTATTGCAAATAATAGAGGAGACTCTATTTAACATTTAACAAAGGTGTGTAGTAGGGGAAACTCCATTACATTATAGATATGCAGTGACAATTTGGAAAGTTTGCAATTTTTCCCTCTTTTAAAGGGAAAATGGCATATCTATTAATCATATACATGCAAAAAAGTAAAAGGACCCAAATATCCAGTGCATAATAACCTTACATTGTTAGTGAGCAAAAAGGCACCATTAATGCACCATTAGCAACATACCAAAACCATTTCTTTTTTCTGAACATTAGCAACACATACCATCACTTAACCTTTATTTTGTTCTTTTTCTGTCTTATGCTCAGTTAAGATGCATGTTTAAGTCACAAGTATCAAATTTTTACATTTTTATTTATTTGTTGCAACTACCCATGTTTCTTTGGATTATTTTGAACCTTTGCTATATTCTGTTGTTTTTTGTATGCTGTGGTTCACAGTTTTGGAAGGAGTTGTTTTTGTTTTGTTTTGTTTTCTTTTAATTTTTCCTAACATTATGGTATCACATTAAATATCATGTTACCTGTAAGATATGGGCTATTTCATGGTTTCTTTTCTTATCATTAAATTTTTTTGATCAGTTTTTCTTATCATTAAATTGGTAAATGCTTCAAATGTTACTGTATGTACATTACTATCTGGTCTCAGTCAGTCACTATGAAATGTCAAAAAGTTCTGAGCTTTCCTGTCATTACATTAGGACATAGCTCATATATCATGGTCTGCCTTTGTACCATTATCTTGTCTAAAGTAATCAATGACTATAAATGGATCCCAATTCTGTTCCCAAATATGCTTTTCTGCTACTGTTCTTTCTATGTAGGTTTTTCTTTATAAATTTCCTGTGTTTTCCTATGTAGTGATATCTATTGTTAAAAAAGGTCACCTTTCTTTTCACATTTCGTCCTGTTATCAGATCAATCTTTAAGTTTGTTTTCGTGAGGCAACATTGTACGGTTCCCACTTATAATATATAATAGTTCATGTTTGTCAAGAGTAAGACGCTTGCAATATCTAACTATCTGTTTTTCTTAGTTCAGCACCTGATGGCTATTGACTAGATCTAAGATGCTGGAAGATGGGTTTCTATACTACATTTCCATGAGTTTAGCAGATCTCTGGACTTTGTAATGGTATGAAAAATATAAGGGCCAACATATTGAAGTAGTATACCAGCTTTTTAAATTATCCTTATGGTGCAACATCTCTAATATTTACTTGGTAAACTGCTCGTGAAACATGAAAGAGGTCCTTCAATTAGTCATGGGCTTCTGCAAAATCCAATCTGTAACTTAAAGTAATTTTGTCAGCACACAGAACCACATTTTGGATTTCTCTAACTGGCTTGTTAAAAATAGTGGTAGCTCTTGCAAGGTCTAAATAGTACCTGATGTCCTTGGGGGGACATAAAGACCAGATTTTAGTAGGAGAAACAAAATCCATCATCATGTACAAAACCATTACTTTCTTCATTGCTTGCTTTCTGGGATTTGCATCAAATTGGTCGCAGGTGATTCTTTTTCTTCATCCCAGGCATAATTGCTAGCTACGTCTTCTAAGAACCAACTACCTTCATCCTTCTCTGGAGTACCTGAAAATAGGTTGTGATGGGTCCTACAATCGCCTTGATACTTGTATGTTAAATTTTACAGCTAATAATTGTCTATAAGTTCTTCCATCATGGATGTAATGGTCAACGTATTGGTTCTAAAACATTTCTGAGAGTATAACCAAGATGTATGCTCTGGGCAAGATGTATAACAATTGTCTAAGACTCTATTTTCATTATATCATACACTCTGGGCAAGATTTATGCTCTTTCCAGTTTTTCTCGTTGTTTCCTTCTTAAATCTAGTGAAATAATGATGCTTCTATACGTAATACGTAATTAAAACTCGAAAGAGTAAAAGGTTATCTGCCCCTGCCTACTCTCAAACTTTTATCTGGAAGATGTAAATCTCAGACCATGTGCAGAGCACATTATTATCTTATTCTGAAGGCCCCATTAGGAATGGTTTTTAGCCGAACACATCATGAGTCTCCAAGTAAACCTTTCAACTTCAAGCCGTTTTACATTCTCCCTCTGGCACAACACTTTGGATAGAATATTGGACAGTGCAATGATTGTTTATTTCCAAATTACTTTCCTTTTCTTAGATGCTCACCTATAGAAGAATCCAAATCCCATTATGCTTTAAAATTATCATCATTCAAGATTCTCTTGGATGTTTCTTTCAAAAAAAAAAAGATGAGATTGTTGATCAGTTTCCTCCATCTCCACAGAACTATTACTCATGACAGCAACAATCATTCCAATCACCTTTCCATTTGGTTGCTTGTAGGTTGGACATACTTGGGGTAGATGACATTGTTTAATGGTTATCTTTTGTCATTATTCTGCACTTGGCAGCCAACATCAAGAACTGACAAACATGGAAGGTCGTCTAATCATTCAAAGAATTTAAGGCTTTCTTATTATTTCCCATCTATGCTGCTCCAACATACTTCTCAAGTCTTTTCATCTAATTCAATTGTGAGAATAATGATCCTTGATGCTGATAAAAAAAAACCAAATTTTGATCCTTGACTGATTTTCAAGCATTTATTATTATTTTTTGAATGTTTATTTTCATGGTTAAATTGGATGTTAGGAGATTTTGATCACCCTGGATCCAACAAATATGACCTCAAATATAAATGTTCTACATAGAAAGATTTTTCTAGATGCCTTTTTTCAATAAAGGAACGCATTTGATAGTTGAGAATTTGGAAAACAAAGCTTTTCATAAACTTAAAACTTCAGTACTTGGCCTTTTCATTATTTATATATATTCTATTCTTTTCATCTCTCAACAAAGAAGAGGGGAAGAATTATTGACTTGTGTTTCACAACAGAGCAGGGAAAAAGGTTTTCTGCTTTCCTCAATTACTTGCCTTCTACGTCACATTTAGCATCTTGGCTTTCTACAAAGGATCCATTAAATCATATTTAAAACCATGCTGGAAACTCTTATCTCCCTGGATGACTCATTTGACTCCCTCCAACTTACCTTTTCATGATGAAAGTGGTTCTGGAACAATTGAAACCAATTTGTCTCTCAGAATGTTTGGCTGGGAAAATTTTAATTACGAAAGCTTGAATAACATCATCTACTTATTTAAACCATTAATATATGCATATATGTATAGGTAAAGGAGTTTTGTTCTTGTAAATATTATTATTCTTATTACTGGCTGAACTGCAATTTCAATTCAAAATCCTCTCCTATTAGTATTGACAGGCCTCTGATCTCTGTTACGCCAAACCTTCCCTTCCCATTGAAACTCACCATCATCCCTGAGTTCCCATTCAAGTTTCTCCCTTTCATGGCCAAGCTATATGTCTTGATCCTCCTCACTTGTTTCAACCCTACAAAACTTACCTTCTGTATGATCCACTTCTGACTGACAGCATATCCCCCATTCTGAACCTCTGATCTGATCCTCATCTCATTCTTGAAGACCTTGCTTGCAAATCTCACAAAGCTCCATGTTCCTCCCACCCCTCCCATCTCCACCTCCTCTCCATCGTCCAAGAAAACTTCTCCTGTGGCATTTCCACTGCTGTCAACTGCCACCAAGAGCTCAAAACCAGTTTTACGGGCTGCTTCTGTTGTCGTGGCTTCTTCTTGCATGGCCAAAATATTGCCTTCCCTAACATGCACATTTATATGCTCTGGTGGGGCATCAAGTGTGACGTATTTTCCATATTTTGCACTCACTGATTGTGAATAATCAAACAGGTCAAACCACTCTCCTGCTGGGAAATATGCATCAACTGAAACCGCTCCTGGCTTCAACACTGGTGAAACCATTACACCTTTACCGATCAGAAACTGTGAGCTGATGTCATAGGTCTTGATGTCCTCAGGGAATGAAAAGAACAATGGCCGTGCAATGGGGGTTCCCCTTGTGTGTGCTTCATACATTAATGTGTAGAAGTAAGGAAGTAGGCGGTAACGAAGCCCCAGTGCCTTCTTTGCTGCAATGGAAACAGATTCCCATAGATAGAGCTCTTGTCGGATCGACTGCTTGTCTGAGTGGTCTCTAGAGAAGGGATAAAAGGCTCCTAGCTGCATTAAATTTAAAACAAAGGACATGAATGAGAAGGCCTGCAGCAACAATGTGGGGGGGGGGGGGGWAAAGATTTGCATAGTCACTGTACTTGTAGTCTTATACCTGAATCCAACGACTGCAGAGCTCTTCGGTTGTATCCTGCATAAATCCACAGATATCAGCTCCCACCATTGGAATCCCAAATAATCCAGAGTTCAAAATTGCTGGAATTGAGTATGCTAGGCCATCCCAAGAGGCGGCATTGTCACCAGTCCAGTGTGCTGTATACTTTCCAGATCCAACAAAAGTCGACCTGGTCAGTATAAATGGTCTTTTCCCAGTCACCTTGATCAAGGCTTCATTTGTAGCTTTCGACTCTAACAACCCATAGAGGTTATGGACATTGTATTCGGTCAGATTACCAAAGTGAAGGGCTGTTGCGGGGACAGTTCTGCTAATGATGGGCCGTCTCATTCCAGCATCGTTAATTCTGTAAGGGGGGTCATCCAGTGTAGACGAGGGGGAAGGAGGGGAGGTTATGAAGTTGGAGATTTCATTCATGTCAAGCCAGAGGCCATCAAAGGAGATAATCTTCCTGAAGGCTGCAATTTCACCACCCCAAAAGATAGCAGCAGCTGGGCTTAGGAAATCAGGGAAGTAAACTGGCCCTGGCCACACACTCCCCAGGTAAGGAGTTCCATTACGCTTTATGTAGACATCTGCTTTCATACCTCGAATGTATGTACCATATGTCTCATTCACACTAATGCCTGTCACAAATGAGAGAAAAAAACTGATTAGTTATTCAAGATGGAGAACAACAATGGCTGTAGCTCGTTGGTTCTTCCTGTGTTTTAACAGATTCTAGACAATAGCAAGAAGCAATGTTTTAAAAAACGACCAGGAGCCAGAGCTGGAACCGTTCTGGCCACTGGTTTTTGAGTCGATGGTTCAAACGTTCAATTCAAACTGATGGCCTGTTCTGACAAAAGCTTTAAAAATAATTATAATAAAAAATGGCTAAAACTGTTGAACGGGTTGACGGTTCGATCACTTGGATTAATGGGTTGTTGATCGATTTAATGGTTTTTCACCAAGAATCGGATTTGGGGTAAAATGGAACCGGTTGCCTGGATGGTTTCTGGGCTGAATGGTCCAACCGTCCGGGTCAATGGTAGTTCGAAAACCATGGCAAGAAGCTTGGGTCAAAATCAAAATCAACCAAGTGTCTCCTCTGTTTGTCACCTCACCTGGATCTAAGATGAGTACATATTTCTGTCCATTCTGGTGAAGTCGATCCACAAATTTACTCAACTTGTCTGCGGGAAAGTTGACGGGATCAAGTGTGAAATCTTTGTATCCATCCATATGGTCTATATCTGTCCACATAACTTCTAGAGGAATCCCAGCTTTTGCATACCCCGCAACCACTCCCTCAAGATCAGACACATTTTTGTAGCCGTAACGGCACTGGTGAAACCCTACATAGAAAACACAGTACACACACATAAACATTGCTATATACATTAAATAACTGAGAAAAAAAATGAAAGAGTTTTGGACAAAGTTGCATGTTTCTTCTTGCAAACCAAAACAAGATAATGTCAAATTTGAAACATCCATTTTTACTCACTTGCATTTGTACTAGTGCAATTAAAATTTGTAGTGTAGGACTTGTTTACATCGAAATGCACTGTGCCACTTTTGGTCATTGGAAAAGGCCAAGCAATTAGCTGGTAATGTCACTGGAATGATGGATTGGCTTTTGTAAGGTTGTATGAGTTTCTATTAGGAAATACAATCTCGAATACAAGCATTCAATTGTTGACATTTTATTAAGAAGATATTAAAAAGGCGGGTGATTCAAACCTGATTCGGGCACATTCCATTTTATTTTGAAAAAACCCGTAACAACATTACATTAAAATAACTTTTTTTTGTTGGACTTTTAACAATAAAATCAGGAGTTAAACTATAATGTACTAATACTGAATGCAGTTAAAGTTTGTTAAGGTGTCAACCAGCTGGTTGGTAAGATCTCCTGCTGATTGTTGTAGCGGAGGCTTGGGATCTATTTAATCCCGCCTGCACGTAGAATGGGTTGGGAGATGGGCTACGTCGTTGTGTAACCTTCAAAAGAAATAAGAAAAAATGAATGTAGTTAAAGTTTACTTATTTTTTATTGGTTGACATTTTACAAATTATATTTCCACCTTTGATAAAGTATATTCATCAGCACATTCAACCAATCACCTCTTTTGCCCTGTGATTTAATTTTTCCTAAAATCAATGGTTTCTTTTCCTTTACTGGATGTGTCCGAATTGCTTTAATATATTAAATGATAAAATTAGTAAAAAATGACAAAATAAGTGTTTTTATTTTCATTTTTTTGGTGGAAAAATATATTTTACATATGAAAAAGATATGATATCTGAAAAACTTCTGACCAGTGAACTGGAATTACAAATGTGATAGTCAATGAGGTGTTATTTATCAAAATTCATGGGTGAGTTTTGATTGGTTAAAACTCTTCCCAAATCATATCTTTTCCGCATCATAGATTTTTCCCTATTCAATTTACAAAACTTAACTAGTCAAGCTTTTGCTTTTGAGATTTAGGCCATGAAAAACAAAGCCACAAGTATTTTTAAGCCTCATGTAATTGGAAAGCATTACTGTTTGAGGTCAAAACATTTAAGGCTCAGAGCCTAAAATTGGGGTTTTTTACATTTTGGACAGGAAAGCAACTTCGGATTACCTCTCACAAAATTGGTTATCACACCCACCTCACAGCCCTTGCAGCTGTATTGACAGGGAGATATTCCCGATGCACGGCTGCAAGGGCTGTGAAGACCAATTTTGTGAGAGGAAATCCAATTAGGGGAGTTGAAATCAGCCCCCCACAAGATAATTTCCCACAATGTCCCACAGCTCATCTCCGCCGGGTATTGGGAACATCTCCCGATGATGCTTCATCGTTTTTGGTATTATCATTAGGAGATGTTTCCAATACACAGTGGGGATGTGCTGTGGGATGTTGTGGGGGGCTGATTTGAACTCCGATTAGGGTAGCACAAATTAAGAAGTTTATCCGATTAGGGGGACTGATTTGAAGACCAATTTTGTGGGAGGAAATCCGATTAGGGGAGTTGAAATCAGCCCCCCACAAGATAATTTCCCACAATGCCCCACAGCTCATCTCCGCCGTGTATTGGAAACATCTCCTGATGATGCCTCATCGTTTTTGGTATTATCATCGGGAGATGTTCCCAACACACGGTGGGGATGTTGTGGGGGGCTGATTTGAACTCCGATTAGGGTAGCACAAATCAAGAAATTTATCCAAACACAACCTTACTACTTAATTACAGCAGTAATTATTGAATCAGTTTTAAGACCAGCAAACGCCAAATAGAAACAGAGTTCAGGTTTCTTACCAAATGCCCAGTAAGGAATGGGTGTAGGCCGGCCAATGAGATTAGTGTATTGCTCCATGACGGATTCCGGCGACGGTCCGGCGAAAAAGTAGAAATCAAGAACACCTCCAATTATCTTGTATGTTATACGGGATCCAGTGTATACAATGTCCATACCGTTACTGTTAAGTAACAGAACACCGTGAGTCAATCCTGCTTGAGCTTTACCATCAATTAATGGTGATCTGACGTCCATGTAGAATGGGTGAGAACCATATAGATTGACATCTAGATTTGCACTTGCAATGTCGGCATTCCACATTGTCAGTGTCTCATTGTGGGTTAGCCGGAATGTCTTCTTGGTGTGCTCCCCTAAGCCAAAGATGGAAGATTTGTCCGCCGGTAGTGACGATGAGACTTGTATGTATTGATCTTTGAACACAAGCACAGTGCCGGAATCTGACTTATCCGGTGAGGTGTCAAAGAGGACATCACCAGTGGAGCCACGAATGATGCGGAATCCAAATGGAGAGGAGGAGCTAAAGGTGAGAATCAGGTCGGATTCTGGAATGGAGAGGGAGTAGTTTTCTGATAATAGTTGGTGGTTTTCTAACTGGTTGTACCGACTCTCTGGCAATCTTCGTTGAGAGAGGTGGGTTTGGCGTGGAATTATTTCTTCTGGGATTTCCCATCTCTGGTGGTTGGAATCAGTTATACGGACTCTCAACTGTGTATCAGTCTCAAAGCTGCAAGGAGAAACAAAACATATTAAAACAAACTGTGCTCTTCTCAATTTGCATTTTTTTAATTTCCTTTCGATTTCATTCACAAATCTTAATCCAAACAAAATGCCATAGAAGCTGAAATGAAAGAATTCTAATTTCTCCACAAATCTTATTAACCCAATCAATCCCACATCTCTTGGATAACATAGCATGCCCAGTAAGGGACATAAAAGCTAAAACCAATGCAGTAATGTTCTTCCTCCATTCTGAAATAATACCCATTTCAAGCCATAGGTTTATCCTTCAATCAATATATTGAAGTAGGAACCATCACTAGAGATTTCCTTCAGTTTCATTAGCTACTCAATACATGAAAGTAAGAAAAAGAAAAGGGAAGAACTTCAAAGAAGATGCACTGAATAAAACTTATTAATTACTTTCTTCACTACTTTGTTAACTGATCAGGAGCCAAAATTAAATCAATTTAGAAGTTTCTTAATCTAGAAAGAGGAGAAAGAGTGAATGGAAACCAGTTCAGAGGGGTTCGTGAATGCAAAAAAGGTGGGTTAGGGGCGTTGATTGTCAAGGATAATCCAATCCAACGTCAAAGCAGGACATCCAGGTGGGGGACCCTCATCGATCAAAATCTAGAACATCTTTAAAATGTCACCGACAAACAAATTTCTGTTGGCCTTATCTCTTTTTAACTTGTTTTCTGTAAATTGTAATTACTGATTCAAGATGTCTGCTAAAAATGGGTTCTTATATAGTCGTAAGTGCCTATAAGATCAAGGAAGCTTCAACTTCCTCCTACTTGTAATCGATGCAACGAATGCTTAGTTTCCAAAAACATTTAGAGTGACCCCATCAATCAGACGCCATAGATTCATAGAAATGAGACTAAGAATCGTTTATCAATGAAGAAAGAAAGAGTACAATTTCTGGGTCTTCTTACCTTGCCAGAAAGCTGAGACTCTGAACATCCGGCCCGAAGACAGATGAATTCTTTATCAACTGGAGCTGGGCGGTGAGCGATTTCCCGGAGGGACCGACGTTAATCCATTTGATTTTGTAGCCAAATCCAATTGGTTCTTCACCTTCTCCATGTGACAGAGAGAAGAAAGAAAGAAAGAATAAAGTGAAGATGAGACTCATTTTCCAGCTGCTACCCATGAACTCCACTGGCAGTAACAAAGAAAACCAGGTAAGGAAGAATATCAATGGCGTACATTTATAGATTATAACCCCACACGACGTTTCTATCTAATCCCATTATTCCACTCATGGACTGTTTGCTTTAAAGTAATTAAGGCTTCAACTACACATGGGGTTATAGATTATAACCCCACATGACTTTTTTGGAGATTTCTTGTTAATTTGTAAAGTGACTCACAATTGACTTCGGATCTCCTGTCCACGAGAATTCTGCCCACCCTTATCCATAATACACTATTTCACTTGAATTGGGAGCATCTCCCCTTACATAATACTGTGTAGAGGATGAGATATTCTCCATATGTGAACAGAGGTTGAGATTCTGCAAATCGGAACTGAAGATAAAGGAAACCTTTTTTTTAAGATTGAGAAGAAATCTTGGTAATATGGATATTGACAATCTATATTTATTGTCACTCATGTTCTACCGGTGATGAATACTTCTCCAACATTGTTGAGGAAGAAGAAAATAGAAAGAAGAAAGAGAGAACTTTTGGAGTAATTATGCGGTTTCTCTGTCCATTGACTCTGTTATTTATTGATTGAGGAACCTTAATAAAGAAATATTCTGCAAATAGGAATGCAACTTGTTGGGACGAAATTAACATTTTAGACTGCTTACGGGTTGGATTAAAAAGCTATTCTAATTAGGGCTGCAACATGGGATAGCCGTCAGGAACGGTGTGGGGCGGGGACAGGGAGCCTCTACCCATCCTATCATCCCTGTGGGGATATTCATTTCCTGTGCTTCTTTATAATATTAATAATTTTGATTTTGTTTTTTTTTTTTATTTTATTTAAATAAATAAAAATAAAATAATTAAAATTTATAATCCTATTAGAGAAGATTCAAACATATTCAATTATATTTTTAAAAATATTAATATATAGATGTATGTGTACATATATACATATATAACGTATGCATACATATATACATATATATCAGTGGGGATCCCACGAGGTGGGGATCAAGGTCCCCGCGAAACGGGAAGTACTCTCCCCGTCCCCGTTAACGGGGATAAATTTCTCCATCTCCATCCCCACGGGAGAAAAATCACCCCCATCCCGATGGGAAAAATTGACATCCCTACTTCAGGTTGGGTCTATTCAAAATTTGACAATAGTCCAACCCAAGCCGAACAAGTTGGGCTATCAATAGTTTTGGTTCCAGGTATAGAACCATCCAATTGGTTTGGGGTCAAAGAATTGTGTCCCGATTATTATCAGTTTGGGACCAGTTTTGATTGTCTTGAATTGATTCAAACCCAATTTATATATATGTGTATGTGTGTGTGGGTTTGACTATGGTATTGAAAAGATATGATATCTGAAAATTATTAACCAATCAACTGGTATTATAAATGTGGTAGCCAATCAGATGTTATTTATCAAAATTCATGGGTATGTTTTAATTGGTAAAAATTCTTCCGATACCATGTATTCCCCACATCGTAGATTTTTCCTATATTAATATATAATATATTTTATCTTCAGGTTTTATATGCAATAATAATAGTGGTGAGTACGATTGTCCAAATTCGTAATTTTAGGATAGAGATTAAAACGAAAAATCCTTTCAGTCTTTTCATTTGAGAAAAGCTAAGGGGTTAAGTTCCTCTCAGGCTTGAAGCATGAAGTTCTAATCTTCCTTCATTCGAACAAAACTAGAAACCTTCAGAGGCTCAAATCTCAACCCTCGTTACCTAAAATATTTTAAGTTTGAACCCCAACCCTTAGAGTGCCCCTATCTCCCCTAAAACATTTGAATACTGAAACTTGAAACATCAAAATCATAGTTGTTTGAACTTGAAGACATTAAGCACAACACAATAGGGCTTTTCCACTTCGCCAGTTCATGTTCATCTTTGACAACAACAACAATGACAATGAGTTTCTCCTAGCAATGGGTTCAAGTTCCCGAGTGATCTTCCTAGAGCAATAATGTTTCAATACACTCTTCGAGGAGAAGGACAAATAAAGAAATTGGGACATAGAAATGGACTAGCAACTTTTGGGATCTTCTCATGGCTAGGCTGCTCTGTCTACATAGCTGCAGCCTAAGGCAGACTAGATCTCCAACACCAAATTACCGCTCTAAACGATATTCATCTATCACTCTTCATCCTGTGTTAGGCTATTAGGGAAATAAGATAAAGTTTGATGTATGGGCTGCTATGATAAGGGTGATTGGGAGTTCTTAGTACGATAGAATTTGCTATGTTATGATAGAGTTTGAAATGGATTAAGATAGATTAGATAGAGTCCTAGATAGAGTCTAAAAGTTTGAGTTTGAATATGTTTGATATCTATTTTAGTCTATAAATATGATGTAATTATCACATTTATCAATGCATTCTTTCTAGACTTTCTTGAATTCTATCATGGTATCAAAGTCAAAGGTATGAACCTAGAGGCCTCCCGCCGTGCTTCCTATGTTTCCGACGGGTGGCCATAATCCTAGCCACCTACCGGGTCCCCGTTATCTATGTTTATATACTAGATTCCCCGCTATCTTTTGTTTGATTTAGATTTCCATTCATATTTCTTTTTATAACCAATTCTAGTTTATTTTACTTTCACTTTTACTTTGGTTATGTTTCTCGCATTCACCCATCTGCCCAACTTTTCAGCCCACCACCATCACCCACTATTCGTTATTATGAAGTTGCATGCTAAAAGTGAAGATCGGTGTTTCCTTCATTACACCATCAGAACCCAGAATCAGTTATTTTCTACATCACCACCATCAGAACCCAGAATCAGTTCAATCAGTTCTTTTCTGCATCACCACCGTCAGAACCCAAAATCAGTTCTTTTCTGCATCACCACCATCAGAACCAAAATCAGTTCTAGTGATCGTTTATGGCAACCCATGCGACCTCAGTGAGAAATGATTTTTTTCATGTTTTTCTTATCTTTGAACTCCATTAATGGCCGATGAGAAGACACCACTGACTAGATCACCATGAATTCCAATGACCACAGCAATGATTGTTTGCTAGAAGAGACCTATTTTTGGGCACTTTTTTTTTTTTTCAAAACCCATGGCCTACTACATATTGTTGAACGAAAACCTAAATCTCCTCCTAAGGAAATTGAATGTGAAGATGATCCATCCAAGAAAAGACCTAAAACCCATGGGTATGTACAGATCAATGGATATTAAGTTATTTTTTTTTCTAGTGTGCTAGCACAAGTTATTGGCTTTACTACATCGACTAAAGTCTAGGCAGACCTCAGTCGAGCATTCGCATCTCAGTCTCGTGTACGAGTGCTCCAAGTCTAATTACAACTCCAGAATTTAAAGAAAGGATTTTCATCTATCTTAGAATTTAGAGGTCTATTATTGGCCGTTGTTGGACCTTTTCAGATTGGCCCATTGTGGCCCATTTTGTATTGGTTGAAGAAGCCAGCCCATTGAGACATCTTAGTTGACCCAATGAGGTCTATTAGTGGCCTATTTTTGCCTAACTTCAATCTGGCCTGTGTTGGCCCATTTTCATTCTAGTACAAGCCCATAGAGGCTCTTTTCTTCTTGAACAACAAGTTCTTGCCATTTTGACATGGAATTGTCATACCCGGTCATCCATTAATTGCCACGCCATCATCTTTACAGTTGGACACATCATAATAGGTTCTCATCATGCCAACATACAACTGGTCATTTGCCATCATCATTATTCCAGTAGGTTTGTTATCATCTTCACAACTGGACATGATCAAGATCGCCATTTCATCATCTACATGTCGTATCCTCACAACTATCATCATATTGCAGCCATTTGTGATCAAACACATGAAAATTTCTGATCCCCATGAGTTTGAGCGGACGTGTTAGGGTATTAAGATAAGGTTTGATGTATGGGTTGTTATGATAAGGGTGATTAGGAGTTCTCAGTAAGATAGAATTTATTATGTTATGATAAAGTTTGAAATGGATTAATATAGACTACATAGAGTCCTAGATAGAGTCTAAGAGTTTGAGTTTGAATAGGTTTGATTTCTGTTTTAGTCTATAAATATGATGTAATTATCATATTCATCAATGCATTCTTTCTAGCATTTCTTGAATTCTATCATGGGCCTAGGCCAAGTTTCCTATCAATTGGGTTAGTATCTTATCTCTTTCAATTAATATTTCATCCACAACCTATACTCGAGCCATCCCTAGAATGTCAGTGAGTGGGGATGATGGGGGATGCCATAGACAATATGAAAGGGGCTGATCTTAGTGGTAGGATGAAAAGTGGTGTTATACCACCATTCAACAAGTGGCAACTACTAAGCCCAGTTATGTGAGTGAGTACAAAAGCACCACAAATAGGTTTCAAGAGTGCAGTTTAGTATCTCAGTTTGGCCATCCGTTTGAGGGTGATAAGCGGAGCTCATGCAAAACATAGTGCTTTGAATCCAAAATAGTTCCTTCCAGAATTTATATGTAAAAGTCACATCTATATTTCTTACAATCATGATTTAAAAAAATGACCCAAAAATGGAACCGTTCTAGCCACCGGTTTCTAGGTCAATGATTCGACTGTCTTGTTCAAATGAACGGCTCATTTTGAAAAAAAAATTTAAAAAATAAGTAAAAATAAAAAATAGACAAAAAACGTTGAATGGGTCGACGGTTCGACAGCTCGGGTCAATGGGTCATTGGCTGATTCAACAGCTTTTGGTTAGGGACTGGGTTTGGTGTAAAACAGAACCGGTTGCCTGGATGGTTCCTAGGCCGAACGGTTTAACTATTCGAGTCAATGGCGGTTCGAAAACCATGCTTCCAATAGCGGTGGGCATGCCATGCAAGTTGAAAATCCCCTTTATGAATATCTTTGCAACATCATGGGCCATATAGGGATGAACCAAAGAGAGAAAATGTCATATATATATATATATATTAGTGGACTTCTTGTTAGACAAGGGAAGCCCATCTATAAGATCCACATTGATATCTGTCCATATCCATTAAGGAATTGGTAGGGGTTGGAGTAGTCCCAGGCATAGTTGTCAAGGCAACACTTAGGTGACTAGGCGCCCTTGGGGGCTTGCCTCACCCAATTGCCAAGTAGTTTTGTGCACT